ATAAATACGTCAAGTTTATTTTGGCCCACTTCAAATACAGAGAAAAATTCTGAAAAAAATTTATGCACACGAATACTTATTAAAATTTTAATTATTAATTATTTATTAAAATAATAAAAAATAGCTTCATTCGCATATTAATATGATTTGCAAATATTCATAATGTTATATTGAAAATGACGAAATATCTGTAACTCAAAAACTAATATTTATTTTTCAATGAGACCAATTTCAATCGAAAGAGCATAAAAAATTACAAAAACGTGTCTTAGCAATTTTCGAAATAACATCGAAATCAATGCCTAAAAAAATTTACTTTTTTTCCGAAAAAAAATTTATAAGAAAAAATCTATGCCTCAAAAACCAAATAGTGTATTACGTACTAAGGCCAGAAAGTGGGATTTTCTGGCGTATGTGGTATGATGGCGGAGCCTTCGTCAGGGTGTCTAACTTTTTGGTCGTGGGTCGTATACTCTTCCTCTTGATCCTCCGCCGAAATTGTGCAAATGTTAAGGGGTAGAGAGACTATCCGACTATTGCAGAACCAAAGCGAGATACCTCCGGCATTACAATACATTGTTATTACTTTAATACAAACTAATGAATCCAAATAAACCGATTTAACTATTGCCAACAAATTGAAATAAACAAACTTAACTTTTACTAATAAATTCAATCAAACAAACTTAATTTTAATTAAATAATCTCAACAGGTACTGATCGGCTGATTTTTAGGACAATTTTTTACTATGTACGATAGCTTTTGCTTCTTTATCAAATAATTTGTTTATTTCCTCTCTGTCGGTGGCCCCTTTGGCAGAAGAGCCTTATTTATTTTTTCTAGATTTTTTTGCTGTCTCACTTGTATCCCACAAATAAAAAAACAGTTAGTTTTATAGTTACAACAAGACCAGCACGACACTGAATACTGTAATATGCCATGCTTCCCCCGTCCGAAGGACGGAAATTGAGTACCTCGCCTCTTTCAGCATAACTCTGGGAAATTATAACTCTACTCTCTTCGCGATGGCATTTCCCGGGACGCGTATACCTGCACCTAGAACAGGCACACAGATATACGTAACAAGCCCGAGGCCTCACAACATTCCACTACGAGTCCGACCTCAATTGGCCAGTTGTACCTAGGCCTACATGTCATATTTTGACTTTGCAGCCCCAGGCACAGGACTTAAAATTCGGCCTCCCGCAGTACTAACTTCATCCGCTTTAGTCAGCGGTCGCTAACGCGTCTCGCGCTCGGCGTGTTTGATGTGCCCACATTCAGACTACCATATAGGGCAGTACGAAAATGGGGCACGACGAACTATAATCTGCCTCCGTCGTTACGCGACATATCTTAAGGACAGAAACATCTATGTAACCCCGGGCGCCCCGAATACTGTAATATATATGTATCTGATTTTCCGACCGCTTCTGTACACTAGTGGTACAGAAAATCTTACAGTCCACTAGAGCGTGCTGCAGCTTGAACAGGCCATAAAAAAAGTCGCTCTTCCCGGCGTAAAATGGGACCCGAAAGACCGCACATTTGGCTCAAGAAACAATATTTTCCGATGGAACCAATTTCGATTGAAAAAGTTACAATTTTCAAAATAACACTAACAACAGTAAACAAGATCACAATTCGAAAATTTTCAGTTGTTACCGATTCATTATTTATAGTCACATAATCACCGAATAAAATACGTCGTCACTAAAAACTGAGTAGTTTATGATTCGTTAAAATATTTTTTTTTGTTATCGTCCGGTGGGCAAACATAGATATACTTGTTATCACAATCACTGATTATTTCTGAGGAAAATTATTTCTTTAATTATAGTATACGGATTATCAAATGCATTTCTCTTTAATACTGCAGTAAATAAATATTTTCGCATCTTGTATGCACTTTAATTTTAATTAATAGTCATTATTGCATATGTGTATAAAATTGTGTACTCGGAATAGAAATATTATTATCTTTTATTCTAAAAATTGTGTCTTATTCGATAATTAAAAATAAAAGTTAACCCCCTTAATGTTATTCGGTTACTTTTAACACCATATTAAACAATGAATAATTATTGAAACACCTGTAAATAACGCTAAAATACAATTAAAGAATCACTTTGAACGAATATTATTGAATGCAATGAATGAATACTGATATCGAAATGATGAAGCAGAATTCATTACATTTTTAAGAACTTTATAAGAATTGGAAACCAGAAATTATAGAAGACAAATGATATCCATCTGCGATCTATGAAACAAAAGTGTCTGATGGAGCATGTACTACTGATACAGAGAGCTCAAGTCATGATTATAAATTGCGAACGGTTGAATATTGGCGAAGTGGTAAGAGGAAGAATTTGAATATCGATAGTGTTAAGTAAAAATTTAGAAAAGTACAGTCTACTCGACAATTAAAACGCTGGTCACATCAAGTGAATCAAGATGGAACATACAAAGAAAAAATAGCTCAAATTTGCAAATATACGTTGGAAAATTTTAAAACTGCTATCTCTGCTGGGATGATAGTCCATGGTTTCGAGTTAATTAATGGGCATTTTTAGCTAAAAAAATTTACAATTTGATAATCTCCGTTCTTGAGCATATCCCACGTGGATAATATTATTCAAAACAGCTCATCGCATTTCATTAAAAATCGTATAATATCAAAACAAACATCAGAAGTGTTCGTTAACGATGTGAAATCGGAAATTTAATCATATCGTTTAGACAACATATATAATTCTGATCAAAGTGACTTTTCATTAAAAGTACGTTCAGAGAAGACTTTAGCTTCAGAAGAAGATAAAAAAAAGAGTATACAGTTTAATCAGTTTCATCGGCAACTCGGTTATACTATACAACCAACGATCCTTGTTTCCCTGTCCTGAGAAGGACATTTTATTTAAGAAGTACCTTACCTTATAGGGCATAACTCCGGGAACAACTCCACTTCTAGTGACGGCGTTACTTAAGACTTAGGCAACATAGGCCTAGGTGCTCCGACAACACCTAGGTGTGGATCAGTTAGGTATACGAGCTATGTTTTACGGCGCTAGTAATAACCTACTACTTCTACGGGGTGGAGGAGTCTGTGTGTTGGGCATTGCTACTCCCGCTCAAGCTTTCTTTCTCTTATCTTTCTCTCCCTCGCGGATTCGTCAAGACACCCCTTTGCGCGGCTGCAAGCGTCAAATGGTCATTTTCAAGTGGTTAAATATGAATCGCTCCATATGATGATGATGTATCATTGTTGACTCTTTCTGGATTTCTAATTTCTGTTAAATTTAGGTTGTCTGTAACTTCTAATTTGAGAACGTTGGTTCTCATTAATCATTTAATTGCTGATTCAAATTCACAATGTATGTCCTGGAACGTTCTCGTGGAGTTACTATAGGATATACACGGTTGGAGCGTTTGTTTTAATGACCTTTCTTTTATTATTGGCCTAAACGAAGTTAAGTTAGGCACTAGGTGTCCTTGGTATCCTATGAAGTTCAAAGAGTTGGTTTAAACTATTGAATTATATAATTCTGGAAATCCTTTGCGGCGGAATTTGTTGTTTTAATGATATCGAATGATTTCTTTTAGAGTCGGTTTTAACTTTAAAAAGATGCATGGTCAGTTGTTTATTTAGAGCACTCACTTCATTAAATGTGACTGTTCAACCTAGTTATTAATTAAACAATGAATTTACAATAAAAATATGGAATTTGGAATATTTTTGATTCTGGGAAGAACTTTTATTTGGTTTAGTTACATGACCTTCCGGTTCTTGGCATTTTCTACTCTTTGGGTTGTTATGGGTTCTTTCCAGTGGTTCCTTCTGTTAAAAAAGACAGAAGGAAAGGGAATGGAAGATGAAAATTTGATCTTCGAATTATTAATTTGACTGACGGACGATTAGTTTTTAAGGGATCTTTTATTGTATAGAATCACGTTATTAGTTTAATTTAGATCATTTTGGTCTGTTTGGAAGTTTTTACCTGCCGCAGGATTTCCCTCCTAATTATTTATTTAATTCATTTCGAAGCGGACAGAGTTGAAAAGCGGCAGTATTGGAAGCTCGGCTGAGTTTTTGACCTTGATCATTTTCAATTTTATTGAATTAAAATTTAATTTATTTAGTTTAAGACTTATTATTTCAAACTTAATTTAATTTCAGCCTCATCCAATACTTTACTCAACTTATAGAAATTGCCGGGTGACAATGTTTAAAAGATCGGGAGAAGTGTAAAATATTTGTATATGACTGTCTAATGATTAATGGACAGCGACAGTTTTGTAAGATATTGACGTTGCTTTACGATTAGATTATTTATAGTAGCGAAGGGAGAGTTTTTTTATCTCCAGTTTTTGACTGAGACTCGAGTTGACAGGACTTCTTTTCTTTTATAAATCAATAGCAGTCAATCTTTAATGAACATTCAAATCATTTTGTTAATTTCTGATGTTATAATTCGGTTATATTTTACAATATATATTTGTCGTAGGTTCAAATTGTGCAGACATTTTTTCATTAAAATCTTATTTATTTTACGTATTGAGCTCGTGTATATTTTAATCAATCGATTATTATTATTATTATTTTCTGTTCCGAATTTTTGGAATCGTAGGTAACGGAGCGTGTTTATTTTTAAGCAATTGTATATTAGGAACATTACATACAATGATTAGCACATTATTATTTTGAATTCATGTTTAACGTCAACAAACTTCTAAATTCTACTATGAAATTTTATCGTAAGCCTGGTGAAGCGGGCTGGTAACAACTAGTGTATATATATAGTCCCTTTCTAGCAGAGTGTTTCTCGTTATGTCTAATGATATAATTCATTAATTTCAAGAATTCGTTATATACTTTGGCAACGGCCAAACGGTTAATCGACGGATTTTGGACTAACAGGGCTTTTCTCTTCTAATATGCAAAAAAGGTGATTTTCATTTATACAACTGCTTTTAATCAAATTAACATTTTGTTTTACAGGATTGTAGAATACACTCTAAATGTTGAAAACATCAATTTCTCAGCTATCCGCACGATCAGAGTATTAAGACCTTTGAGAGCTATAAACAGGATACCAAGTAAGTCAATAACGATTAATAGGTATGTTTTTTATGACTGAAATGAGTTTTTCCTTGTAGGTATGAGGATTTTAGTCATGTTGCTACTTGATACACTGCCAATGCTTGGTAATGTGCTATTATTATGCTTTTTTGTTTTCTTCATCTTTGGAATTGTTGGAGTTCAATTATGGGAAGGTATATTGAGACAACGTTGTTTTCTAAAGGCTATCCATAACATCAAATATCCTGAGTAAGTTCAACTATTATACATGTAAAAAATACTTCGATTTGATTCAACGACTAGAGGCAGAATAAAAACGAACGATACAGTTCTCAAATTGCAATCTAATGGGAAGATTATATTCCATTCAAACATATAATCTTATTAGTTCCTAAACATTATATACCTTTATTGAGAAAAGATTGATCGCGTCGTATTAATGACACGTTTGACCGTACAAGGAAGATATCTCATACTTATACTTTTATGTGACGACAAGTAGAATGCTGCCACTTTGGCGGACCCCCACTCCCATCCCCACCACAAAGTGGGGATGAATTTGTGTCAACCGAAGCAGTTTTACAGGGAGTGGGGGTTGCCGCATAGCGCTGCGTGGGGCGCCGCAATCATGGGTAGGGGGTAAAGAATTTATAATATAATAATTTGATTATTATTTGCTAATTGACATATATACCTGTTAATTATTTCATGATTTTTATGTGATTTACCGCGAATCACCGAATTTTAAAGTATCTACTAATGGCGCATGCATGCAGCGTTGCGCTTAGTGTGGTTTGGCTTAAGGGCATTGACGCGACATATATAGGTTGGCCGTGCCGACATAGCTTTTAGCGGGTATATTACCATGCTCGAGAGTGAAAGTGAAGAGGCTGGCGCGTGGTGGGTCTAAGTCCAATTCACGTGATCTGAACGCTGTTCCAAGCGTTCAGTCTTGCCCGGCTAGGGTCTACGCACAGGGGGTATGTTGCCGCCGCTCGACGCGTGGGAAAATGGAAGTAAAAGAAGCTACGCACGAACGCGTTGCCGTATTTACGGCTGCTACGCGCAGATATGTATGCTTCAACTCTCTTTAAGTTGCAGGCGTGGCACTTGAGCAGTAAATTTTGCAAGTGGGAGCACAACAACACAGCAAAAAATAAAGGCATCTTGGTGGTGCGCTTTGCCTGCTCGTTGCTATCACTCATATGGACATTCTAAAATTATAATTCAGACAATTATCAATTTTTTTATTTACCACAAAATATTTCTATAGTATCTACATTACAACGTCTTAATACTGTTCTTGTTTCATCAAACGAATCAGCTTATCGGAAGAGGTGACCAGTATGACGTCTTCCATCTAACTCATCAACTTTACGATATAAGCTTAGCAAACGTAATTAAATATTAGAAGGCATATGATTTTTGTTAAATTTTAATTTCATTTAAATTTAGTGTCTAAAGGTATTCCAAATATGAATAATACGAGGTATCTCAGAAATAAGAGACGAAAACAGCTTAAAAATTTATTAAATTATCTCTATCGATAATGTAACATAAAATATATATAATATACATAAATTAAATAAGTATAAAAATATAAGAATGTAATTACGAATATGAACGAACCACGTCACCGTAGAGGCCCTTGTTGCCGTTGGTTCAAAAAAAAATTTAGCTGTTGAATATTGTTTAAAAAATTTTTAAACACCACATGCTTACAATTAGTCGTCAGGGTCTATGAAAAGGTAATAACGACTGGCCACAACATCTTTGGGGTTCCTACAGCCGTATAGGTAGTAGTCTAAGGAGTACGTGTTGATGGCTTCTCTGTCTAACCTAATTTCTAAATGTTCTTCCTACGGCCCCAGCTAGAAGCATTATTGAAAGCGTCGGGTCTCTTCACAGGATTCAAATAAAGACTCTGCAAGACGGGCTCGCGACTATCTTAGTGGTAGTACACACGTTTCCACATTAACGCATGGTCATGCTTCACAACGTCTAGTTTATTGAGCTCATGTTTGAGCATGATCTTCCACTTTTCATGCCCGTAATCTTCTTTGAATTTAAATTTGTATTCGTACGCCTTTTTCATAGTCGACTCGCACTCGATTGCATCTCTTTTAACACCAGCTACGTCTTCATCACCCTGAATATCCTAGGTAAAAGATAGGAAGTTTCGCACGAAATGATAGTGATCATGTAGCAACCGACGTATTTTTTATGATAATCACAAAAACGTCCTTTTTTTGTTAAATTATCACACTCCAAGTCCCAGTAAATTAACGCCTCACACGGCCGTAAATTTTTATGGTTAAGTCAGCCAAGAAATGATTGAAGTTTTGCTGATATTTCAGCACAGTTTATTCATCTCATTAAATATCGCGCATTAGCCACATACACTGCACGATGTATTTTATGAATTTGAGAAAACTTCTTATTGTAAACTGAAACATTTTTAAATAGCAGTTTGATTTCTTAGACCTTTATGAAAGCGTATTCTCTATCGAAGATCTTCCTTCATATTAATTGTGTTTATTTATCATAAGTTAGTACTACGGGAGGCCGAATTCCAAGCCCTGTGCCTGAGGCTGCAAAGTCAAAATATGACATGTAGGCCTAGGTACAACTGGCCAATTAAGGTCGGACTCGTAGTGGTATGTTGTAAGGCCTCGGGCTTGTTACGTGTATCCCTGTGCTTGTTCTAGGTGCAGGTATACGCGTCCCGGGAAATGCCATCGCGAAGAGAGTAGAGTGACAATTTCCCAGAGTTATGCCCAAAGAGGCGAGGTACTCAATTTCCGTCCTTCAGACGGGGGAAGCATGGCATTTTATTAATCAGTGATGACGTTTAATTGCATCACGTAAGAATCAAGCAGCAATACTAAGTGCTTCATTCTACCTAAGCAAAGAACAATGAGCACCTATATTAAAGAAAGCCGATACTCAGCTGGTGCTATACATATGCGAATGTGCTCTTAACATTTTACACGGCAACGTGTCATTTACAGCGGATCAAAAACGTAAATTGAAGGACCTTCTAAGTGGAAAAAGTAGATCATTTTACGAAAAGGGTAAGGTTTATTACCGATTCTTTTGGCACCTATTTTAAGGTACATAGAAAACAAAGAGTCATTTGATCCTGAAAAAGTAGAGACGTCCACGCTGACAGGTGTATCCCGAAGACCACAGCTCATCATACCGGATATAATAGTTGGATCTTCATCAATGAAATCACAAAGTGAGTCAGAGCCGCCCGATGCTCTTGATTTTTTGAGTGCTTGTAGCAGTAAATCTCAGATAGGTTCAGGAGTTTCAAAGAGAAAATCCAAAGATAAATAGTTAAAATTTTCGTCTAAGTGATGGCCGCTCTTAAAAAGACATACAACAGTATTGAACATCCGGCAGGTTTTGCTAATGCAAACCAATTGCTAAATTATTGAAAAAACATACACAGAGATAATGTGAAAAAATAGCTAGAAAATCAAGATGCTAACACGTTACACCATCCAACGAGGCGGCGTTTTTCAAAGCGCACAAATAATGATTCACATGTTGACGATCTATGGGGAGCAGATTTAGTTGATCTACGTAATATTGCTACTTATAATGATAACACTAAATATTTATTAATTGTTATTGATGTTTTGACTAAATTTGTATGGGTTGAACCATTACTCCACAAAACAAGTTTTTAGTGTTGCTCAAGTAATAGAAAGTAATTTTAGTTGTAGTAATAAAAGATTACCGCACATATTACAGACAGATCGTGGCAGATAATTGTGAATAAAAAAGAGATTATTTTTAGAACTGTAAGAAATCCGGATTTCAAAGCAGCTGTTGTTGAACGATTTAATCGTCCTTTGAAAGAGCGAATGTGGCGTTCTTTTACATACACACATACAAAACGATACATCGACGTTCTACAAAAAATTTTAACCGCTTATACTAGTGTTACAAAACTTACGCCTGTTGAAATTGATTTCAACAATGAGTTAACAGCTTTTCTGAACATGAATCATAAATATAAGAACAATAAGTGCTGAAAAATCATCCAAAAAGCCTAAATGTAGTGTGGGTGATTTCGTTCGTGTCAGTAAAACAAAAGTAGCTTTCACAAAAGGATATACAAGCGATTGGAGAGAAGAAATTTTCAAAATTATTCGCATATCAACGTTCCGTCAACCACCCGTTTGCATACTTCAAGATCTTAATCATCAAGATATCGATGGTGTTTTCTATGCAGAAGAACTATCAAAAGTTAATCGAAAATTGCAATAGCAAAAATTAAAATGGCTTTACAAAAAGACGACTTCCACATAATATTAACCAGTAATAGTAGCATGATTCATTCTCCTGATAACGCCACAACGCACTTCATTACTCAGTTATCCCAGCCTTCTCGCGCTCGGCGTGTTCGATGTGCCCACATTCAGACTACCATATAGGGCAGTACGAAAATGGGGCACGACGAACTATATCTGCCTCCGTTGTTACGCGACATATCTTAAGGACAGAAACATCTATGTAACCCCGGGGGCCCTGGTTGCGAGGAAAGCTGTAACGGCGCTTACTTAGTTCAGTTTTCGCCATATCTTCAACAGATTCTTGGATTTTCAGCTGAAGATAAACCTGTGTTATTGCTTATTCTAAAATGCACCCGGCCAGCAAACATATATGTGTTATGTCCGACTTAATATTCGTCCATCCCGCATCCCTCATTTCTTTTTTTTTTTGTTTCTCCCTTTCCTCTTTCCTTCTACTTTTTGCATAGGATTTAGACCGCTGACCAGCATTTTTCTTTTCCGTCAACGATGGTCAGCTCTTTCCCAAGCCTTTTGACTTGTGGCGGGGCCCCAAACTGCAGACGGTGCGCTTTTTTCCCGTCTTGTTCTGTGGACTGGGAGTTTCCCAGCTTAATCAGCTTGAAAAACTTTCCAGTTCACCAGAAATCACGCATACATAAAATGACGACTCAATCCTTACAAAGCAATACTTTGTTGGATCGTTGTTTATGTCGGCTGCTGACATTCAAACCGGTGCAGGGTTACTTCCGGCGACTCTGTTTACACGCGGCCACTTCGTAGACCAAACAGCTCTTATCAAGACTTTTCGTCGAAGACCATAGACCCGTCAAGACGGCCTGCGTATCTAGCATCGCGTTGAACTAAGTAAAATTTATTCTATCTTCAGTCGTTACAATAATCTTTCCTGAGACGCAGTAACGCGTATATCCTCTCCCATAGTAA